CCCCAAAACCCCAAAACCCCAAAACCCCAAAACCCCAAAACCCCTAAATCACAGCCTCGGTGGAAATTGAGAATTTTTAATAAGATTTCACCACACAAAAATAATATAAGATTCAAGTCTTTATTTAGCTAATTTGGATAGTACATCAGCCTTCTTGGAAAAATCTGAGATGAAGTCATCCCATTCATTATAAAACTTTTCCAGCATCTTTGGCTTGATATCGTCCTTGATTGAGCTCTGATGAATCGAGTTAATAGCTAACTGTTTTATGTCCTTCAAGTCTAGGTCCCATGCCAAGAAGGCATAGGTGAAGTCAAGGGAGATACCTCTATAGTTCCAGAAAGTTGGATCATCGGAGCTTATAGTCACAGGAACTCCTCTAGCCATGAGCTCTCTAGCTGGATGCCATCTCATATCAAGAGTATATCCTAATATTAAGTTACTAATAGGACATATTTCATAACCAATATTTTTCTCCACAACAAGATCCACAAGGTGTGGATGAAGGACGATATTGATTCCGTGACCAATTCTCTTAGTTCCTAGAAGGATTGCGTCATACAAGTTCTCGTTGTTTCTATCACTAGATTCTCCAGAGTGGAAATAAAAGTTAAAGTCCGGATATCCAACTTTGGCCTTAATCATATCCTCAGCAAAATGGGAGATAGGCTCCGTAAACTCTTCTTCATTCACCAGGTCAAATCCGGTTATGAAGTCATAGCCGTGGTCCATGGCGTAGAGATAACTTTCAAGTTGCTCCATTACGTGTTCTTTTCCGAGAACTTTGAAAGCAACAACAATGACTGTCATTTGAAAATCTGGATTTTCCTTCTTGATCTCGTCTATAACTGATTTATAAAGATCAAACTCTTCCTGAAGAGATAGGAAGTTATGATTTTCGTCAAATATGATACCAGAGGCATGTCTTAGCTCAGCAATAAAGACCCCCTCATCAACAGCTTGTCTGTAGTAATCAAGCAGCCCTTGACGGTAGAACTCGTAGTAGTGAATGACAGCATCGTTCAGGGCGAATTTTGGTTGAAAAGCCTTCCATATCTCATGACTCTGCTTCGAACTGATGTCTTCTGGCTGTAACAAGAGAAGGTTGGTCAGGTATTCATCAAATGTTCCTTCTAAGTTCCAGTTTCTTCTAAGATCATTGCATTTCAAAAATCCTTCTTCATCCATCCCGTTAGGTGCAGTCTTCAGTTCCTGGGTATCTATATTGAAGTAGACGAAGTCATTGTAGGTGAAGCTTATAAAAGTCTTCATGGCGATCGAAGCCTCAATATGAACATGCATATGACCTCCCTTTGGCATTCCTAAGAAAAAGTCGTGTGCCTCCGAATCTTTAATAATCGCTTGCCCGTCATAAAAGTCGAGCAGAAGAGGAGAATCGTCCTCATGGATCATCTCTCCCCTAAGAACTTTAAGGTAAGCATCGATGACCTCCTCATCAGGAGTGAGGGAGGGAACATCTTTTGTAAACCTAAGTGACTTATCCTTGGAGATAATTTTCTCTCTTTCTTCCATATATTCTCCGAACAAAGTGTCTACCAAATCCTTGGAATAAACACTCGGGGTAGGACCCAAAGGGCTGAGGTACTTCTCCAGTACCGAATTTGTTTTAAACATTTGACTAATCTCATCTTTCTCCGATGAGAATCCTAATGTAACCAACAAAGTAAGAGTGAAAAGGGTAAATATTTTCATTTTTATTATTTCTAATAAGATTTTTTATATCTCAACTTGGCAGTCAACCAGCGGGGTTTTGGGGTTTTGGGGTTTTGGGGTTTTGGGG